CTTGGCACTTGTTTGATCATATTTTTATGCTGATCTGTGGATAATGGAGCCACAGGGAAGAGCTGAATTTTATTTTATTATTTTATTTTATTTTATTTTATTTTATTTTATTTTATTTTATTTTATTTTATTTTATTTTATTTTATTTTATTTTATTTTATTTTATTTTATTTTATTTTATTTTATTTTATTTTATTTTATGTCATGTCATGTCATGTCATGTCATGTCATTTCATTTCATTTCATTTCATTTCACTTCTACTTTGGTTATCCAGGCTATGGCATAAGGTGTTGCTCTTGCCTAATAAATGAGCTGGATGCTTTGAAAGTCCAGCTGATGGTGACCTGAAGGCCATTTCTGTCCTCAGCTCCCAGTTTCTCATAAGCTCTTTGGAGTGAGGGCCTGTGTATTTTACGTTGCCATCACAAATAACAGACTCCGCGTGATATCCGCGATCAACTGTGCATGTCACATTTCATGCCATAAAAAACATGCTCAAGGCAGGAAGGGGGAACATGCTTTTGGCTTCCCTGCCATTTGTAGTTCAGTTTGTCTGCAACCATTCTTTCATTGTGTGTTGCTACTTTTCTCCTGAAAAAGTTTCCAGAGCCCCCTGGAAGAAGAAACAGGCACTATTTACTGATGTGTTCCAAGTCATAATGAGCAGACAACTCTTGCAGGCGCTAAGCAGGATCTCTCAGCCAGAAGCCTTCAGCCAGAACCTACCAAGCCCAAAGACTTCTTTTGTTTTAAAAGGTCTGAATTAGCCATTAAATATCACAGCATCTTGAAGAACATCCATAGGACCTCTCTGCTTTCCTCCTCGGTCAAGGTTCGAGCTGGCACTCAGTCAGGTTGCTGGGAGTCTTCTCCGTTGGATGCCATGGCTCTGTGTGCACACATGGGTTAGTCCACACTGTGAATTAATGGTAGTTCAGCTGCAAGTTCCACTGCAAGGGAGTGCCAGGGCTGAAATGTGGCCTGAAACACATTGAGGCACTGTTGACAGCCTGGGTGATGAGGAGCCTTTCCATGTTTCTGCACAGGATGAACCCAGGGTCAATGCAATGGGGAGGAACCATTCTGTCCATCTCTGGCAAACCTCAGTGCATGGCAGGGGAGTGTCCTGCCATGGCTCATCCTTTGTGCGTCTCCAAGGGAGGCAGCCCTGACAGGCGGCTGTGGGCAATAGTCATGGATGCCCTGACGCGCTGGCTTCCCATTTCACATTTGCTGATGGGCCTCATGCCAGAGGCCAAGTTTACTTCACAGAGGCCATATTCTGCCGTGCTCAGGCTGTCTCTAAGATCCTACCCAGGGAATAGATAAACAGAACAGTGTTTGAGCCTCTGGTACATTTTAATGTCATTTTCAGGGAAATATATGTGTCATAACAACACAAAGCAGGCATAGTTCCCTTGCTTTCGATCTGCCTGGTGCCAGGGTCCACGTCATTCCAGCATTGAAACAGATCCAGCAAGTTCATGGTAACTTTTCTCTCTGAAGAAGTGCCTCTTTTGCCCCTTGGTCTGTACTTGTTTCTTGTCTTCCAGCAGTGTTCCTTACTCCTGTCAGGGAATGTCACGTACTGTTAACATCTAATTTTCACTGGAAACCCAAGGGAACAGGGCCCTTATCTCCACATACCATGCACATCAAAATAGTTTAATCAAGACTATTAATTCCAGGGCTTGCTGCTGATCTGGATAAAACACTGCCCTTTCCCAGCAGTGAAGCTTTGTAGCCAAGTTTCACATTGCAGCACTCTCCATTAAGTTTGTTCTCTGCTCCTTGGGGCTGAACACATTCCCGTACGGTCCCCCAGGTCTTACAGAGAGCTGCCAGGGCTCTGCTCTAAGGCTCAGATTGATTTGGGTTGATTTTCCAGACCAGAAGCATCCCATCAGTTTTAAAATTTGGACTTGATAGTCCTCGGTGTCACTTCCTGGTGCCCTGGGTGATCATTGCCATATCCAAACTTTGGTTCAGGGTGACTGCAGAGCCTAGGAAGGTCTCTGAGAGCAGAGAGAAAACTCAACAATGTGCCAAGACCAGGGCAAAACTCAGGGGATGTCATTACAGATGTGGCACTGGGGGATCTGAGGAAGCAAACATGCCTTTGTATTTGTCCCATCATGCCTGCTTTAGGGAAGGGTGGTGGGACATGGCTTATGTGCTTCATCAGAAGGCACAGCCTGGTCAAGAAACAAACTTCAGAGAACTAGACATGGGAAGATTAGATATAGGAGGATGGTTACAAGCATTTTCCTGACCAGATGAAGAAGTGGACCAGATTCTTCCTCTTTTTCTCACCTCCAGCAATGTTTTACCTCATGGCTCACCCCTGACTCTTAAGGCAAAAGTGTCCAACAGCTGTGGGGATGCCTTGTGTTTAAAGCAGCCACGAGACATGTGCCTATTGGCCCAGGGCTGCTCGAGATGTGCTGCTGCTTGCTTTTCTGGGAAAGGGTTCTTGCAACATGAAAGAAGTGCAGGCAAACAAAGAGCTCTGGGGAGAGAAGTGACAGGCAGCAGCTGGAGCCAGTGGGTGACTTGCCGAGTGACAGAGCAGTTGGGCTCCTCGCTACTCTGCTACTATTTTGGAAACATCAATAAACAGAAGAGGCCAGATCAATCTCTCAGGGCTCCAACACAAACCCTGGGGAGCCCTGTGGACACTGGTGGCACCAGCAGCCTGAGACATCAGTTTGTCCATAGGGGGTCTGCTTAATTTGGACTGTGGGAAAACTCATTTGATTTAGCCACTGAAAATATTATTAGCAGTCCACTAATTAGCAGATCTCAGCTCCTTTACAGGTGCAACCTTGCACTCAGGAATTCATGCTCATTGTGCCATGGAGAATATGACTTCAACTTCTGCGGGGGAGCTTTCAAGCAACTGGAAAAAAAGTATGGGTGTTTATATTTTTAAAAAGGGATTGTTTTTGCTGCTGTCAATTATTAATGGCTCTCAGGTCAGGCTAAGGAACAATGCCAGGGATAAATTACCCTGTACACTATTCATGTATGCTCTACCCAATTGTTTCCTTCTCAGCTAGAGGATTCACCTCACAATGAACTCCTTGGCATTTGGAAAAAGAGGACTGACAAAGCAATGAACTTGGTGTGCCCATTTATTTATGCATTGACATCTTTCCTACTTTGTCAGGTGTGTTTAATCAAAAAGAAGCAGGAAATGTATTATAATTATAAACATATTACTGCAGAAGAAAAAGACTGCCCTTGGAAAGGACTGCATTGTTTGATAAACAATTACAGTGAAAAAACACAGGCTTAACCTACGAGTCTTTGCTGAGATCAAAGCAGAGTTTCTGCCACAGGCTGCCTGTGCAGCAGGACTCAGCTCTGGGTTTGCAGCAAGGCAAGGGAAAGAAAGTTGAAAAGAAAATGCAATTTCCTCCCTTCCTTTTCTTTTTTTTTGCCTGAAACTTTTCTCCTAGTAATATATATATATATATATATATATACACTGAAACATTAAATATTTGCTGTTAATATTAATAGAATTAGTGATGAACCCAGCTGAGAACACAATAATTAGGGCCATGTCCAAAGCCCCTTATTGAAGCCATGGAGAGACATTGTTTTCACCAGGTTCTGGCTTGGGATCCTGATGAGCCAAAGCAAAGATGGAGTTAGGGAATAACCCTGGGAGATTCTGGATGTCCTGCAGTCTTTCCATATGACCTTGCCCAAACTTGCAAACATTCCTTAACCACGACAACAGCTGAACTCCAGTCAGTATTGTGCTGCTGTTGTGAAAAGCAAAATCCTTCTGGGCTCTGAGACCAGGAATGCTGTAGGTAAGATGCAGAAAGGGTTTATTGCCCTTCTCAGCACTGCAAGGCTGAGCCATGGCCCTGCACTTGAATAAATAAAGAAACCACCAACAGACAAACTGAAAATTGTCCAGAGGAGAGCAACAAAAATGATCAGAGGTCTAGAAAACATGCCTTATGAGGAAAGATTGAAAGGGCTGGGTTTGTTTAGTCTACAGACTTTGAAATGTCCTAATAAACGCTAAAGACGAAAAAAAAATATACGGTATCTAAAAGGCTAATCAATTGCCCTTTATCTCTGTGGCAGAAGGTACAGCAAAGAAGATAGTGTTAAAAGCTCTAAGGTCAATAACACCTAAAGTATGATACTTGGGGAGGAATCAGAGCATTTCATGGCAGATTTTCAGTGTTTTGGACTAGTATCATGAGGGACTGGGTAACTCACTGTCCCATGGAACAGACTGGTTTCAGCCATGTCATCCTATGGTTTCCATGATCTACTGACTGTGTCAGGGCACCTGGGAACAAGGCCTTGGAGCTTTGATGAACTTTTAGAGCACTCCCTGATTTGAAAAAATGTGGCAGGTGCTCAACCCTTCAAGAAAGTGCAAGAAGAAATCTTTTAAAAAAGCCTCTTTTCCATGGCTTCCTTGGTTATTAAATGAAGAGCAACAAATTCCCACCTTTTCATGGGGCCATCATTTTATCTGTGAAGAACCTTACTGCATTCCCATGGGGGATTCCCATCTAGATGAATACTCAATTGCTGGACTGTTTAAATTATCAGACCTCTGAAAAAACATGTAAAAGTGTATCAGGTAGTGACAACCTTGCAGATCCTGCTTGAAAAGTCACCTCCTGACAATGGAGAAAGAGGCATCTTGGCCAACCCTTGCTAGGAGTGCTTTTACACCTGTAAAGCAGTGAGGACAGTATTAGGTACTGGTCTAGGTGGGCCAGGTGGTGGTCAGAACCTGTTTAGAAAGGCAACATCCCTTCTCCCCACAGCACCCACACAGAGCTAAGTTTCCCATCCTGCAGCTGTGTGCTGCTCCCTACCCGTGACTGAGCAACTTTGCTATCCCTTGTCTGTCTTGGAAAGGCTCAACACTCTTTTCTGATTTCAACCTCTCTTCTTCAAAGGACCCCAAATGCTTTGTCAGAATTTGCATCAAAACTCACCACAAGACAAAAGCCTATTAGAAACCAGGTTTTGAATTTAATGCCTAGCAATGCCAAATTCCTTGAATTATGGGCAAAAGGTGTGAAACTTGTGAAGGGAAGGAGCACAGGGTTGCAGCCAGAGCAGAGTTTGGCATAGCCCTTGGCATCTCCAAGGACCTGGGGGTGAAGTGAGGGCTCCCCAAGAGATGGGGGAAAGATGCTGTGCTCCATCCTGCTGTATCCCTTCCTCTTTTTTGCACTCCCCATTTCCTGCCCAGCTGTGCAAGTTACTGCTTGGTCCCACATGAACACAGAGAAAATCACTAGGTATATGATATGGGAATTAAAAAAAATAATTTTGCTTCTAAGTGTAAACCAATGACTGTGACAATGGTTTGCAAACATGGGATTATGGCCCCAATTCAACTTTTTTTTCCCCTCAGTTTTGGGTACAGTCATGAGCCTGGCAGGAATCTGTGTCAGCTAAAATGCATGGCAGCAACTGGTGTCTCCTGGAGTTTGGAGCTGAGAGGGGTCACAACAGGATGGAGTTTTGGAAGGCAGCACTGCAGGGTTAGGAATAAACATCTCCCTGGGGCAGACTTTCCATAATTGGCCATGACAAGGCTTCTTTCTCCAGAGAGCTGGAGTTGGTCTGTGAGGAAGCAAGGATGAATCACTGCTCCAGCTCAATTTGGCAAGTGCCATGATTTAGTTCTGCTTTGCACAGGGAGGAGATGATGATATAGACTGAAAGACACAAGAGAAATGTAGCCAAAGGCTTCTGAGCTGGGAGAGGAGTTTGAGTTCCCACTCATTTTTTGCAGGTTTACTCAGGTCCTTGGAAGGAAACCCTGGCAATACCCACTGGTGCAAAAACAATTCCCTTTATCAACAAAGGGAGGGAACAATGGGGACTCCTAAACACAAAGCTCATACAAACAATAATAGCCCTTTTATTTTGCATTGTTCAGCCAGCAGTTCATACTAAATGCTTCCTTCCAGCCCTCTACTTTGTTAACTATTTCTGTCACTCTTCTGCTCAATTTATGGGAAGGGATCTTAGTGTCTGGAGCTGGTTTTCTTCAATGTGGTGGTGACTATATGGCTGTGCAGCCTTTTGTTAAGAGGAAGGTTGAGCATGGTTTTCTCATGTCATCCTGCACCCTTTGAAAAGTCCCACCTTGTCTCAAATATGAAGAAAAAGGGGTGTTGTTTCTGCCATCCTTTCTCTGGATAGTGGTCATCTGTAAAGCTCCTTGCTATCTCAGCAATCTTACCAAGCCCAGTGACCTAACAGCAGTTCACAGCCTTTTCAGTGTCTGATGATTAATCCCCTCCCTTTAAAAGTATGCACTTAGCAGCAGAACCCCATGAAAATATTGGTGGAGCCAGAGTTGTTTTGCCAAGTGGCAGATTTAGACTTGCTCTTCTTGGAAAGCTGGCTTCCTGTCACTGGCTTTGTCTCATGGGCTTTTTTCCAGTGGTTTGGAGAGAGGAGAAAGGGAAAAAGAAATTGTTCCTCCCAATACCTCTTCTCTTTTACATCCCCTTTCCTCCATGTGTCCACTCTGCTATTCTACATTTCTGGAACTCCATCGGCCAAAATCATTCTAACTAACCCCACTGCTATTCCTCATGCATAAGGAGAAGGAAGATCCCTGCAAAATAACATCCCTTGAAAAAGAAGATGCAGACAATCTTAATTTCCCTCCTGTCTTCTCCTGTTCCTTCAGAGGGCAGGCAGATGGAACAAAAAATCTTCCCTGCACTGTGGAAGAGTGTTAGCTCAGAAAAGCCAGATCTGCTTCTTGTTGCACTGGGAGTTCAGATCAAAGCATCAGTCTTTTGCCAATTTCTAATTAGCTGTTAGGAACATTAAAATTTTATTTCTTATGAGCTGACTACCACAGCAAACTCAGGCAGCTGCTCCTGGGCTGGCTACAAAACTGGAGCTTAGGGCATCCTATTCTAAACACTCCCACCACTGGAAATGGAGAGCTCAGTCAGCAATGAGCAGCACAGGGCTGTGGCAGGCAGTTGAGTTTGCATGACAGCAAAGATCTTACTTTCCCTGGAGATACCAGCATCCCTCTACTTTTTAAGTCTGTACAAGGACAAATCCCACACTGGGTTCTTACCCAGTATCTTTTTCCTGTTTCCTCTTGAGATGCTTAAGGCCTCCAGACTGGACTCAGCAGCACCACACGCAATATCAGCCATGTGAATACAGTATGAGTGCAAAGCTCATGACGTTTCTTGGCACAGAGTCTGGGAAGGACTAACACTGCTGATACCTTCAAGGTCAGGACTTTGCATGACCCTGTGAAGATTCCCCATGTGCTCTCTGCAGAGTGAGGTGGGTCCTTTCTGGGAAGAAAAGCACAAAATATCAAGGAAGTACCAAAAGTCATTTAAAGAAGGTTAGAACAGGGGACACACTGGAGTGTAAGGCACCCATGGTCAAAGAGTTTGTGCGGCAGTTTTCCCTTTTGTGTCCATGTGTCAGTCTCCAGATCATAGCAGTCCAAGGAATCCAGGTCCTTGATGACATTGTCTGAGGTGAGACATCGTCCTCCTGTGACATACAGCTTGTTCTTGATGACAGTGGCCCCATGATGCATTCGTCTGTCCTTCATGTCTGCACATTTTACAAACTTGTTGCCTTTTGTATCATAAGCAATTATTCTCCGGGTGTACCCTGAATGCAACCAGCAGAAGGAATAATAATAGTATATTTCATGCTGGTCTTCAATAAAACCTATTATAGTAGTATATAATTTGGCAGAATTAAGATATCTAAAATCAGAAGTGATGATGTGTCCCAGGAATGCCTGTCTGTCTATCTTCCTTTCCTGTCTGTCTTCATCCTGTCTCGTAGCACCTTGGCAGCTGTGGCTTGATGAGCACCATAAAGCCCATCAGATCAGGCAATCAATGTGTCAAACACAGTTGGAACTTGCAGTTATCTGCAAGTGCCTTCAAACATCTGAAAATATTTTTTTTACCAAACAGGCTCCTAGAGTTTCACTTGGAAATACAGAAACCAGTGGCACATATGATGGGCCTTGCTGGGTTGAGTTGTGGCTGTCTGCTGACAGCTGGGTATGCAACAGCATGGTGCCACCAGTACTCACTCCACTCCTAAAGCCCTCAGCACCACATCTGTGCTGGCCACTATGCCAGTGACCCAGTGGACAGCTCTTCCTCTGAGGGGTGATATTACCTTGGATCAGCTGAAAGGGCTGGTAAGAGGGACATTGCCCTGGAGCAATATGTCCCCACCTGGAGGTGTGGAAGCTTGGTACCCAGCAGTACCTTGCCCATGTAGAAAAACATGAGTAGGGTCTGAGATGAGGGCAATCTGCCACATAGAAGCCTGATAGTCTTGGACCTTTGGACTCAGCTCTCCCCTCTTCTCACTGCAAAGGATAGCAGTGGCCTCTCTGGGAGGGGTGACACCACCTTGAATTCCTGTGCAGTTTGGGTTCAATCCTCTGCTTTGCTAAAGATACTCCGTGTCTCATTTTGCCTTAAATAATTCAACATATGCTTCCTCCTGGCAGTCTGTGGTCAGAGAAGAGGTATTAAGGACTGTAGAGGGCCAAATTATCAATGACATGATACACCCAACTGCCATGGACAGAGGTTGGTCCTCAGGTTGAAAAAGACAGTGAGAAGTTTCCTCTTTCTAAGTGTTTCACACTCCTTTTGGGATATTACCCCCAGCAGGCAGCTAAAAGACCAACCAAGACCTCATAGACCTATAGCCCACCCATCCTGACAAGCCATCCATGGCCTTGTGGTAGCAGTGCTTTCCATTCTTCCAAGTGGAGCAGACAGGGAGGACCAGGCTGCAAGGCAGGGGAGGTTCAGGACCCCCATGCTTCTGGCTTCCTCCCAAGAGCAGTAACTTGAGTTGGCTTTTCCTCAGTTTCTTCCACCCAGGTACTGCTACCTGGGACAAGAGAGTGCCTCATGGAGAACTTATCTCCACTTCAATCGCCATGAAACTCCATAAGAGAAGTGTAAGGAGGGTGGGAACAATCCTCCTTTCCTTCCCAAGATCCTGGTGCTTTTTGAGGGAGCACCCCCAACTGGAAGGCTGCAAAAACCCACAGGGTCTAGGCAGGAGGAGGAAGAGGGAAGGTGAAACAGAGCCCTTACCACCTACGATGATAATCTGGTCTCCAATCACGACAGCTGGTGCACAGACATTCTTCACTACTCTGGTCTCCATACGAAACCACATATTCCTGGAGACATGGTAAACCTGACAAAAAAATAAAGATATTCACACAGCTGTTTATGTTTCATTTTAACTGACATCTGTAATTACAGAGGAACTTCTAGGTTTTATTTTGCCCTAATAAATACAATCCTCTGGCTCAAGCTGCTGGAAATCTGAGAATATACCCATTTTTTTCCCTAATATGTCCCCTTGGAAAGCATTCTGGCTCCCCAAGGTTGTCTGCTCAGGAGATGCTAGCACAGGCACTAAAGCAGTGTATCTGCCATATGAAGGCTTCTTGCATGGCCATTAAATCACTGCAACCAGTTCTGCCAAAGGGCAAGATGATTAATTTAATTTTCCAGTTATTCTGTGTATTCCTCATTAGCCTTAGCAATTTCCTGGGCAAACAAACATCATGTTCACCTAGCTCTGCTGGCAGCCACTGTATTTGCCCAGCTGCTATATTTATGCTGATGACTGGCAAGCACTCAGAATGGCAAAGAGACTTAGAGTGGTATCTAAGTCATCAATTTATGTGAGAAAAAGAGCTGTTGCCAGATGATGAGCTTTCAGTCATCTGCATCTGGGTGACACAAACTTGTATGTCAAGTTATCTGCTTCTTAATATAGGAAATATCACCAGAGCATCTCCCCACTAACTGATAAATACATTTCCTTCCCCTGAAAATGAAGTACCATTATAAAGAATTGCTTATGTCCTGGTTGCTATCTCAGCTTAATGATCCTTAGTTAAAAGATCTCGAACAGTGAAAAACACTCATGGGAAAAGAAACGTTACAATGTTGCTAAAGCATCAAATCAGATAAGAAAAGATGTAATATATTTTTTCCTCCTAAAAGCATGTAAGGGCTGAAAGAAGGAAGAGAGCCAGCAACATGTGGCAGGATCCACATTTTTAACACAACTGTTTATCCAAAATGACTGTCAGTTTAAGTTCTGGCCCTTTGATGAGTGAGTATCTAATCGCTCTAATGATCGCGAGTGTTTGCGTTTGCTGTGAGCGAGCAGATGCGCGGCTCAGACCCCAGCTCAGCGCCAAGTGAAAGCACTGATTTTGGTCAGATCGGCTACAGGCATGATGCCAGGCAGGGGAGCTGCTGCCGCTTGCTGTGGCATCATCTGCGGCAGCCCTGGCCCCAGTGCCCACCAGTGGCACAGCTGACTGACACCCAAAGCAGTGCCTCAGGGCTGCTGCCTGAAAAAACATTCAGAAGGGGAAGATGGAAGAGTTGCAACGCTGGATCAACTCATCCTGCCTCTTGCTACAACACACAATGAAATACTTGAGTGATTTGATTTTCTCATGAAGGTGATGGACTGCTGAATACCTTAGAAGAAATTGCCTATGATAAGCAGGACTGACCATTACCTGGATAAGCCGAACAGGGTTTTGCATTATATCTTCTCCCCCAAAGAGGTAAACCCTCTGATCTTTGGCAGCAACAGCAGGGTGAAGGACGGCAACAGGCATGTTTGCCATTCTCTCACAGGTGTTGTAGACACTATCGTATCTTTCCACAGAATTCAGGATTTCCTGGTTTTCACCAATTCCACCGAATGATAAAATATAATTTTTATATGCCAGGCTTCTGTGGGAATAACGTGGAACGAGCATGTGCTCAATCAACCTCCACTGATTGAGTTTGAGGGAATAAATGTAAATATTACCACTGACCAGACTTTTCTTATTGCTAATAGGCATCCCTCCGAGCACAAAAATATTGCTGTGTAAACTCACTGCAGAGGCTTTGTACAGGCGCATGGGAAGTTTGGCCAGGCTCAGCCACTGGTTTGTCTTGTCATCATATAGCAGGACATCCCTCGTTGTCTGCTGGCTGTCCTTCCTGCCACCAATGATGATGAGGAACTCTTGGTTGGAGTACCTCCTAGGAACATGCATCATGGGTTTGATGTCAGGAGTGTTGCTGCTGTACAAGGAAAACATCTGTCTCCGGGCTGACTCCAGGATGCTCCTGCAAGTGGGTGAGGACTGAACGAGTGAGTCATTGGCAATGAAATGGAAGAGGAAAGTTGGATGGACGTACTGAAGTCGGACCTTCTTGAACAACTCTTGGATGTAGCCTTGTCGTGCCTGGAGGTCATGCCGAATCCAGACCATCAATGCCTCAAAGACCTGCTCCTCCTCCCCACAGAGTTCATCATCCCCAAGGTAATCAAGGAGCTCCGTGGGACAGAGGTCCTTCAGGTCCTCAGAAGAGGCCACCATAGGAAAACATTTCAAAGCCATAGCCTTGGCTTTCTTATTCAGGCTTTGGCAGTTCAAGGCTTTTGCCAGTCTGATCATGCTCAGACAGTTGCCAGGAGTCAGCTTGTCTTGGAGGAAGGTAGAGCAGGCCTCAAACAGCTTAGTGTACTGCAGCATGGATGCAGTCTCCAAGAGGCACAAGACATTCTCAGTGGATATGATAATCTCCCCAGTGTAAACATAAAGGATAATCTGATCCAAAATATCAGCATCAATGCCCTTCAGAATGACTTTAGGCTGGTGACTCTCCCTGAAGTTGTTACAGAACATTGCCTTGAAGTATGGACTGCTGGAAGCCAGCACATTTCGGTGGCAGGGGATTTCAAAGCCCCCAGAGCAGAGGGTGACATCAGTCAGCATCCTGCTCTGCCGCAGAGCATTCAGCTGCCTCAGCAGTTCAGAGGAGAAGTCCTGGTCTTTGAAGAGAAACTCTTCAGTGGATCCCTCTTCCATAGCAAAATACAAGAGAGATGAATTCTGGGCTTGGCAGGAAAAAAACCCCCAAATTCTTAGCAGCTTTTATTGAAATATCCAGCTCCAAGGGAACAAATCACGACTTTGATGTTGCTGTAAATATCCGTTCACTATTACACATAAAAATGGAACACGGTTTAAGCACAGTGGGAAAATAATAAAGAAGCCAAAAGGTCGCCAAGACCCTTTAAAACTTTCATAAAGTTATCAGATAGGTTGCAACTCTGAGGTCAGCACTGCCTGTGTCGTTGGCAAGAAGCAAAAGCACTGAAGTTATCTCACTGATTTTGGATTAAAGTTGGAGGGCTGAAGCAATTGGTTTGTCTATTTCCATCATGTTGAATAAACGCACTTAGACATTTCTTCACTATTTTAAAGTATTAGCAGTTTAGTAGCTTGTGCCTCTTTCCTTTAGAGTTAGTCACTCCCAAAGAATGCAAATCTGGCAGAGCTGAACTCCGCAGCAGGGCGAACAGAACCCTAGAGACTGGGAATCTGCATTAAAAGTTATTTATTAACTCTGCTTAGCTGTGGTTTTTTTTATGTTAATCAGACACACAATGACTAAATTAAGTGCCAGGCAGAACAATATGATGAGTATCTACGGTCATGGCTTAACTGCTCAACCTGCAGTGGAACCGAAGGGTAGAAACGTTTACCTTCTGTTGTCCTTCACTGCATGCACTTACTCTCTGTCGTTTATTCTCTGCTGGCTTTTTCCACAGCTAGAGCCTGGACAAAAAGCTATAAACGCACGGGAGGTTTCTCTCAGTAGGTAGGTGATTCATAGAGGGTGATTTCTGGCCGTGTTTGTGCCGCAGTCAGTTTTGCCGCTGCCGGGCGCTGCGCGCAGGGGCGGCGGGCATTGTGTACATTCCAGCGCTAAGAATAGGAGTGCAGCGCTCCGCGCTCTTATCACATGGGACACCGCCGCCGCCTTTTGCAATGACCTGGCTGGTTCTGAGCATGCCCGGCTGGTGTTTTTCTGGCAAATGTTTACGTATAATAAATAGACACGGAGAGGAAAGTTCACTTATAAAAGTCCTGGCTGTGCATTTGGAAACAGCGGCAGCTGTTGCAGTGTGGGGGGAGACGCTGATGCAATGGGACCCCTGCATCCATACACTGCTCCAAGGTGAGCAGGGAAAGCCCAACTTCCTTCACCAAGCAGAAAGTGAAGTTCACTCTCGGAGCAATTTATCTTTATGATGCTGCTTGATATTTCATACAGAAAATACCAGGTTGTGACCTTTTGTCTAAGAACCTCAGCTCTCTGAAACCCCTAGCAAAGAACTTCTCAATCAGATGGCTTGAAACTCAGTGTTACAGGTGGGAGGACTGGAGCAGGTTGCTGCAGTGAGTAGCAAGCTGGAAACCAGTTTCCAGAGTTGCAATTCCCAGGGTGGCACAGAGCTCCCCAGGGCACACCCCTTGATGGGGTCTCTGACTGCAGATGGCTGCTCATGAACAAGATGTGTAAGCTCCTTTTGCAGGCAGTGAGGTCTAGTCAATACAACTGAGTCTGCCAAGTAATTCAGGTCACCAGTATGTGCAACCTGTATTTGGGCAGTCAAACAGTCCTCCAGGCACTGCTGGTGTCCACAGGTGCTCAGCTGCCTCAATCACATGTAGGTGCCCATATTTAACACTCCCATGGTAAGCATCTATGATATGAGCCTAAATCCATCCTCAGGGCTGGGATCATTCAAACACCTTGTGCCAGGGGAGGATCCTCCAGAACCCCAGCTGTGCCCTGTTGGGGTCTTCAGCAGGTCAAGCGTGATGTGTCCCAGCTCTATACCAGATTCCTGGGTGTTTCAAGAGAAATAGAATTGGCTGCCCTTGCCTGGGTAACTGGATTGGGCTCCTCATCTCTGCTGTGATTTCTCCCTTTGTTCTAGGGTGGGGTTGAATCCCAAATGTAGTTTCTAAGCATCACTATGACAGGGAAACACAAGGTTAAAGCAAAAAGCCTTCTCATATTTTCAAAGCCAAATCTCACGGGTGAGTCATGTCTGCATTTAGTCACAGTGAGGCAGACGAATGAGCAAAAATCGTTGGGAGCCACAGTGGCCTCATGTCAACTCGCATGCCATGCTGCTGTTTGCAGTTCTCCATACCTTCCTGCCCCTGTGTCCATGGTGCAGCAGTTCACAGGGATGTGGGCAGCCTGTTCCTCTAAAAATGGCAGTTTTACATCACGGGCATGCTGTACATGGCCTTTCTGAGAGGCTTTTCAGTGCAGTGTAACAAAGTGGTAAAACGCCTGGAGGCCAATCAAAACCCTGGAGGCCCAGCCCCATGTTAAAGATAGGCTGGAGTCAGGCTGGCACAGCTTTTTGGAGGCTGCCCACACAATCTGCGTGTGTGCACACGTGTATGAGGTGAGGTGAGGGAGAGGAAGAGCAGGAGCCACTGTACTTTACTCTTGCAGATGAGTCACTCTGAGGGTAAACATGGCAATCTGCAGCCTTTTCCCTCTTCTCAAATAAAGAAATGACCCAAGAATGATGTTGGGGTGCTGGGGAAAATGTGCCCTCCCTCCATATTCCCTGCCGCCACTGCCTCACCAGCTGGACACGATCTTGCTATAAATATTTAGAGTGGCATTAAAAACCCAAAAAAGAATTTTTCTCTGTCCTTGTCCAAGGAACATTAGCTACCCAAACAAAACGCCCTCTCACTTTCTTTCTTGCTCTGTATGTATATGCTCTTGTTGCAGTCCATTCTGATGATTGATTTAGCTTTATATCTCTATTCTGGCTCTAACTCCTTGTTCCCTGTTTAGTTCTGCCTCTTCCTGGCAGTCCCTGTGGATTATTCTTTTAACCCTTAAAGAAAAAAATGATGCTATCTGACTTCATTAATGACACTGTTTTATGGGGTTGGGGAAGGCTAGGTGGGATGTTTTTGTGCTTCAGATACTGATAAATGTGACATTTATTTAGAAGGTCCCAGGCTTGATGGCTTTGCACAGTTACACAAATTCCTGCTAGCCCAGAGTACAGACTGTGCTATTTAAATAGCTTATTGCTTCAGGGAGGGTGGTGTTGCTCCTTGCTGAATCCCCACACAGGTCCCTGCCAATTTAGGGCCAGGGCTTCTGAGCAATGAAGCTCCTGCTGCCTGCCTTACAACTCTCTTCATATTTTTCCCAGAGATTGTGGCTTCAGACACATCTACAACCAAGTGGGCACACCAGCACTGCTTAGTTAGAATTTTCTTTATAAATAGACTAGAAATCACTGATCCTGCCAAAGACAATATGTCCTGTATGGCCCCCACTCTATGGGGGAGGGAGGGGAGGTGGGGCATGAGCCCTGCTGAGAGGGTAGAGCTGTTTCTACTACGGGACAGTCTAAATTGTCAGGTAAAATCTGTTTCTAAATGAGTTCTTGAGGCAAATTTTCTTGGGAGGTATGCTATTGACTGAACCAGACCTGAGTGGTCTTTCTTTTGGGAAGACAAAATTAGTGCATTACAATAGGATTGAGATCTTGCAAAGATAATGGTCTTGTCTGAACACAATTGGGAAAGTGGGCTTATTCACAGGGTATGTGACCCAGCAGCACCCTGAGATGGGATGCTGCAGGTGCCCCATAGCCCTTGATGGGCTGGAGCCCTTGGGGGCTATTAAAAACTGTGACCCTCTCGAATTGCTGCTGCACAAACTCCATCCATGACCAATTTATAGAAAATAGAAATATCTACCGAAGAATGAACATGTTGTTGTAACACTCACCCTGCTCTTTCTGCTCTTTCTCCTTAAGTGTTTGGCATCATTCAGTTTTGGAATTATGGTGACTGAACCTTTGATCTGACCCAGAGCAGGTCTTCTTATGTTTTAATGCAGTGGGATGATGAAATGCCTTGCACTAAGCAGCAGAGTGGAAAAAAAGCTGTAATCTGACCAGGCAGCAGACAGGTGCACAGAGATTGGTGATGTCAGGCAACTTCTAAAACTCATATACTGATCCTATTACAATTCGGGTGAAAATGAACAAATATGGATAAAGAAAAAGGACTGCTCAGGACATGGACTTCACTGAGCTTATTCAGTGATATGTACACTGTCTCAATGACCATCAGCCCCCACAGTAATCAAGAGACAAATCATCCCTTTACCCAAATTTTTAGTCTAAATTGACAGGGGCAAGAAAAAAATATTCCTTATTATGGTCTTATAAAACTGGGAGAGAAAACAAAACCCAGGATTAACATTCCTCATTGTATAAAGAGACAGTTACAGGGATCAAAATTAATCAGATGCCATGCAGAGGAGAAGAAGGTGCCCCAAGCAGCAGTGGTGGCTGGTTGGGGTGACAGCCCAACCTAGGCTGGGAGAACATTAGCTTGCTCAGGGACTTGTACAGATGAACTTTAGAAATCTTGAAGGATGTAGATTTCACAACCTCTCTGGACAACCTGCTTATGTATGGCCAATAGGAATTTCTTTTGTTGCAATTTGTGAATGCTGTCTCTTGCACACAGAAAAATCTATTAATTTTCTTCTGCTGCTGCTACTTGCCAGCTATCTGATCTTCTTCCTATTGTTCTAAGTCCAGATATTGTTATGGTCCTTCTCCCTCATTCCCCTGTAACTAATATGTTATTAATTTTCTACTTAGCTGCTCAGCAAACATGATTTCCCTGAGTGCTATTGCCACAGCTGCCATTCACATTGGTATGATAGATAATGCTGAGCTAAGGCTTATTTTAAGAATCTGGGTTCAGTTTGGATTTTGTAGGCAAGGGCAACAGGCTACATCCATAGATACTGGTCTTGAACCCCTGACCTAAACTTACAGAGGCATGGGGACAAGTTTTACAGCATTGGAGTCACAGAGCAACTTCCCAAGAGTCACAGTTTGCATTGTGTACAGATAGAGAGATACAGCATGTAATTCAATAATGACTTTGGCCCAGTATACGTGGGTATGAAGATGTGTGGGCTTCTGGCTTGGTTTCAGGCCAATCTGTAATTAAGGAGTGAAAGATTAAGATGAAAGCAATTGCACTCTTCTTTAGTCAGAATGACCTACTAGTGTTAATTAAAACAATCTTCAGGCAAAAATAAATTTGGCTGCCAAAGTTATGTGCTTCACATTAAATAAGGATGTAGCTAGTTTAAAGAGTGCTAAGCTTCTAGAGGTTTCACAGAAACCACTCATACAGCTTTGGGCACTTTTGTTGGAATATTTTAAAACAAATCCTTTGCCTAAACCAGCTACTTCATGTGTATTTCAGACACCCGCTGGCTTCTTCTTCAAACTACATCATTTGAGAATGGGTACCTGCCAGCTTATCTTGGTCTGAACATACAGTGTGCTGGAGGATAAAATATCACCCTATCACTGGACACCAAAGTAGATTCTTCATCTATCCTTTCTATAGTCTCTGGTTACAAAAGACCCATGGCAACAGCAACAAGAAGATACTTAGATCCTACATTGCTCTGTTATTGGTGGATCTGAATATTAAAATGCCTGTGATAAAGGCATTCAGGATCTGCCCCTGATATTTTTAGGTAGTTAGAAATGTTCCCAAAGAAGGATCAGGCCTTTAAAATGCCATAACATTATATTACACCTGTGTGAGACACCAATCATTGTTCTTAAAAGCCACACATCTTTCCCATCTCTCCTTTATACTGCCCCAACTTATAACTAGATGACCAGGTGCTACTGCTGTGACATTGATCCAAGGGAAGAGAAACAGGTCCAGTGCTTCAGAAATACTTTTTTCAATGGGAATATGATGCCATCAGTCATCATACCTTGGGGGGGAGCCTGAAAGACCCTTCATCATGCAGAGTGGTGGTGCACTTAAGAGGCAAAAGGGGACAGACAAAGAGAAACACTCATGAA